TTTTAACACTCAAATGTATATAATTTAAATATAAACACCATCCTATTGTACAAATTTCAGGTAGTTTTTTATTCTCTTAAAGTAGATACTGGGCTCCTTTCTTATAGCTCAGTTTCATCTTTAAGAAGCTGCCGAAGACTATGCCTTGTATGGACTTATTTTAACTTACAAAATAAATGATAGAAATTTACATTGCTTTTTAGAACTATGTAAATGCACAGTACATATATCTTTGTGCACATATACTATTATTTCCTAAATATTAATTCTTAGTACTGAAATTACCTGATAAAATTCTTTGTGCTCTTTTATTTTTATGCATATTGTCATATGGGCCTGAAAAAACTTTAGTGCTAATTCAAAATCCCATCAAAAGTATATGAGTAAATATCCTCTGTATTAGGGCCAACAGCCAATATTAAACACTTTTAAATGTTGGGTAGAGACCTCTTGAAAGGAGGTCTCCCTATTTTGATTTAAAAACTGGTTCTATTTTCTTACCTTCGGTCTTGACTGAATTAAACTCTGCTAAACACGACACAATTAAAAGAACCAAAGGGATGAGCCTTCTCGCCGCCTCCATCTTGGTGGGGGAGGGAGAGCCTAAAGGGCTAGCAGGCTTTTATACTTCTCCCTCTTTCATAACTATCTGCTTTCACAAGCCCCCAGGCGACCTTCAGGGACATATGTCAGTTTGGCCAGGTAAAGGGTAGATTTATGTGAGAAGGTCGCAGCTGTGTGACCGGTTTATTATCACCAATCCCCAACAATGAGTGTTTGCTCTCCTCAACTGATTCCTGAAAGCTCTGCAGATAGTACCCAGCTAAAGGTCTTCAGAGGCCATCTCCAACACCTGGCACATGGTGGGCACTGCGGAGTTCCTCCTGGCACTGACGTAGAATTGGACCTTTGCCCGTTATTTGTTCAGATCACGAAGGGATAGTGTCATTCACATCTTAAGCCTTCACTTCCCTTCTCTACATATTAAAGCCTCTGGGGACCCAAAGGACCAACTCTAGGGGGCTGGGGTGACACCTGGGCCAACTCTGGGTCCAGCTAGGTTGTTCTGATGCCTGCCAGGGTGCTGACATTGAGGGAGAGAAGGAGGTGGCACAGGATGGAGAGGGAAAAGAACATGCAGGTCCAGGTTTGGCTTCCAGAAATTTCTAACTGGTTATGTCCAGAAAACCTGAAGACGGTAAATTAAATTCCCCTAGGCACTGTTTTACAGATGAGAGAAAGGAATCCTGGTGTGCGAAGGGAGACCAGTGCTGCCGTGGCAAGGCCAGCACCTGTGACATTGAGAAGTGGTGTTCACGAGGACCTGGGACACTCACTAAAGTATCTGCACAGCTCCACTCAGGAGCTCGCTGGTGAAAAGAAAAAATTGAAGCACATATACCACCTAAGACAAGACCGGAAGCAGAAGATGCCTGCAGAGGGACAAAATGCTCCAGGAACTCAAGAAGGACAGGTCACTTCCAGCTGGAAGGTCTCAAGGGAGGCTCCAGGGAAGATGCGGCCTTGAATTTGTCTCTTGAAACCCCCAGTGAGGCCGNACACACCATGCATCCATAACAGCCACTGAGAAATGGCTCAGGGAGCTGAGCCGCTTTGCCAACGTCTCATATGGAGAAATTATACAACCATGACTGTTAATGGGGACACACGTTTTGGGGGATGATGAAATGCTCTCGAATTAATGTTGATGGTTGCATAATTCTGTTTGCATCCCTCCTGTCCCCATGACTATTTGTTTGGTGTAGAACCTTCTTGTTTAGAATTGGTCCCCTTTGTCATTTGAAATCCAAAGCTGGTGAGAGGTGAAGCAACTTTTCTTAGACGTTCACCTCACTCCAGGTAAGGCAAACTTAGCATCTTCCTGGTTGTCCCTTCCTTTCCTCACGTCACCACTTCGTCATGCCGTCCCACGTCCCGCACTGGACTGGGCAGCCCAGGATTATGTTTTCTGCCCATTCTGACACGGTCTCTCCAAAGGCCCTCGGAGGACACATTCCCAAGATGATTTAGAGGAAAAGCCATGAGGGTAGACACACCTGACTGCTCTTCCACCTTAGTTACCTGCTGTGTAACTTTGGAGAAGTGATTGATTTAACCTGTCTTGATTTCAGTTTTCTGGACTGTGAAGTGGCATTGTCACAGCCAATTTCACACTATGTCACGAGGTTTCTAATATCCTGAACATGAGGACCTGGCACAGGCCTGGCACACAGGACGTGTCCAGTAAGATGAAACGTTCATTCCCCGCTCCGCTCGCTCTCCCCACGTTTCTGTTCTCTCTTCTGACAGCAAAAGTAGTTAGTATGTTTCTTAAGAGCTCTACCATTCCAGAACAATGAAAGTCCCCTTCTCTTTTGTTTCTTGGAGGGCCAAACGGAAGTCAATTCCTACTTCGCTGGGTTAGGACCATGATTCTCAGTGTGGCACCTGGGCCAGCAGCAGCAGCACCTGGGAACTAGTTAGCAAAGGGAATTCTCAGGCACCACCCACCCGGCCTGAATCAGAGAACCTGGGGCGGGGCCTGCAATTGTTGATCAAACCCTGCAGGTATTTCTGGTACTCTCTCCAGTTTAGAGCCCTTGGGACAGGATGAGAGCACAGCAGGCCCGCGAATGGCGTCGTTTTATTCCATGCGGTTTCATTATAACATTGATGGGATGCTATAGGAACTTAACTTTTGTTGGTATCCATTAGCCGATGGTAACACTGGCTTCATTATATGTTGTTTCACTAAAGTCACAGGACCTAGTGACGGCGTTCAGTGAGGACTTACTGTACTTGCTACCAGTGCAGCCTACATATATTTGGACTTGAAATGATTAAAGAGGGAAATCTGAGCCGCCAGCCGAGGAAAGTCTGGAGATGAGACTTAGAAGCCAAGTGTTTGGCTCTGGAGCCACTTTGCCTGGATTCAATCCCTCTCCCACTTTATTAGTGTACGCCTTGAGGGGTGAAAAGAGACTTGTCTGCACTGTCTTATCCAGGGAATGGGGATTCGATGATTTGCCCCAGAGGGCTGTTGAGAGGACTAACTGGGGCAGTTCTCAGGAAGCTCTCAGCGGGGTGCAGCACCCTGTTCCCAGCTAGGCCTCACACTGCCATCACCTGG